TTATTCATCCTTGTAAGTGCTTAATAAATATTTGTTGATTGAATCAATGAATCATAGTATTCTTTTGGATTTTAGGGAACTGGGGATCCCATTTGTGCTATAACAGCATCTGATAAGACACTGATTGTGGTAAGTGATGAACATTTTATTTTGTGAATAATTTGTTTCAATCATAAAAGTAAAGTAAAGTAAAAAAAAAGCCTAGCCTAGCCAAAAGCCTAGCACCATAATATGTTCTCATTATCCATCAAGAGATGGACTCAGAGTTTGAAAATGTGTCTTGCAGGTTAGACAATGGTTGTCAAAACAGCTGCCTCCAAATCTGTTGCCCTGGCGGTCCCTTAGGAGGATAGAAGAGAGAGGAACTGGCCCCTTTGGGTGGCTCCAAGGAGCCTGGTATAGACAGGAAGGAAAGGAGTTCACAAAGACTGCTTGCTTCCCCACTGTAGGTGGCTGCATTGTACTGGAGACCCTGGCCTAGCTGCTTGTCCGGGTTCAGTCAGTCTCTGTGCTATGGCAAAAAGAGTTAGGAAAGACCTGCCTTTGAATTCTGCCCTGGCACCTACCATCAGTGTCATTGCAGTCAAGTGACGTCACTGAGAAGTGCCTCAGTTTCCTTTTCTGTGCCTCCCTCGCTGGAATATTTCAAGGGTCAAGGGAGATGTAACAGAAACCTAATGTGAGTGAGGTGTGGCAGGAGCCTTAGGGTCTGTGTTAAACCAGCTTACTGTTATACTTGCTGACTAACAATGAATCAGATTTACAGTCCTCATGCAATGCAGTCAAACTGTATTAATCAAAAGTATACAAACATTAGTTTGTAATCATCTCCTAGACCACAAAAACATCAACTCCACTAGAAACGCACTGCCATTCTGATTCCTAGGGTTCCAGCTAAGTGGCTCTCCTTCCAGTATTCAATGGCAGGGTTCCACCTCTGCCCTCTGAGGTAGTGTTCTGACGAGTTGGTGAGTCCCCATCAATCACCTCTGCCCACAAGTCATCAAGTGGGAGTGGGAATGCAGGAGCCAGCCCTAGTCCTGCCCTCAGAACGGCCTGAAGATTGGTGCCTGTGGTGGGTTGTTAATAGTTCTTGCTGTGGACATTACTTTTGTACCCAAGTGTTGGTTACACCCAAGTACTGGTTATATTCTGGTTCTGACTGGTGACCAGTGATTTGTTTACCAATTAATTTGATTGGTACCTTATGATCCAAGGTAATAACAAGGTGATTTACCAAAATTTCCCACTGATGGTCAGTTCTGTCTGAGGGTCCCTTCAGTTTATTATTTATTTATGAACAGACATGCTGTTTACCAAATTATACCACACAGGTCCTTCTCTTAATATTGAAAAATACATCAAAATGCTTCTGCCCAAAACGGCAGCCGAATACAAGATGGAGTCATTTATGTAAAGGCAGCAGACTTATGGTCGTTATATGAAGTGATCTGCATGGAGGGCTTTGTAAACTCTGTAAAGTGCTGCCCAACTGGCAGCTGTTATTACTGTGCTTAATTATGTCACGACATAGGAAAAGATGTCACTCGGAAAGATCGGGAGACTGTTGGCAAGCTAGTGTTTGCCTTTTTCTGATCTTTGAAATGGACTCACTGGGCTACTGTATTTAACACATTAACTTGAGAAATGAGTGTTTCCCCAATCTTTAATGTCCTCAGAGTTAACTGAATGTGAATTTTTTGCACGTATGGAACTCAGTTACAGTGTAGTTCAAGTACGGTCAGGCTTGCTTAACTTTTAAAAACAGTCTTCTGATAATGTGATTTAATCTTTGTATCCCAATGAGTTTTCTGTCTCCTTGGGACATTTGGGCAGAATTAGCTATATGGCAAGTAAACCAAGGGCGCAGCTAGGTGGCACAGTGGTTAGAGTGCTGGGCCTGGAGTTAGGAGGACCCGAGTTCGAATTTGATCTGAGATATTGATTAGCTGTGACCCTGGGCAAGTCACTTCACCCTGTTTGCCTCAGTTTCCTCATCTGTAAAATGAGCTGGAGAAGGACATGGCAGACTGCTCCAGTACCGCTGCCAAGAACACCCCAGATGGGCTCATGGGGAGCCAGACATGATGGAAATGACCGAACAGCAACAGCGACAGCAGCAGAGGTCTGGCCGCGTCACTCCCTTGCGCATTAGTCTTCATTTATTAAGCACCTACTGTTTGCATTACCAATATTATCTCATTTGATTTCAAGCTGGAAGGGACCTCAAAGGCCATATCTAGTCCAGCCCCTCATTTGACACATGGGGAAACTGAGACCCAGGGAAGTCAGACTTGAGGACAAACAGTCTTCATTTCTCCTAGGAGAAAAGTGAGACCCAGAGGGTAGAAGGGACTTCTCTATGGCCATGCAGTGAAGCCAGTGATAAAAGCAGGACTAGAACCCATATCTTCTTTCTTAATTTATCACCCATTTACTTACCTCTCAGATTGGCTCTGAAGTCTGCAGCTGGCCTGCATCCACACTCTCTCTCCGGCGCCCCTCCTTCCTCATCTCCCACACTCTAGTCAGACTGGTTTTGCTGCCCCTGAGGCTCCATCTCTGGCCTAGGCTGGTTCCTTCACAGGGTTCTTGTATGAGATCTTTCCTAATGCTCTCCCGGTCACTGGAGGTGGGAGCCGCTTTTCACTCATTCAGGTCTTTGAGGTCGAGACGCTTTTTAATTATGTAAACATAGAAAAAGGTGTAGATGAGACACCACAGATTGTGGAGACCGGTAAACAAAACCTCTCTCCCTAATTTTTCAGGGGCGTGAATCTGGCACCGTTCAGAGATACAGTCTTCCTAATGTTGGTCTGATTCAAAAGTATTCCCTGCCCTGTCGAGCTTACCAGTTGTCTTTGAATTGCAACTCCAGGTAAGGATTTTTAGCCATTTCCAAAAAAAGTGTGACTTGGAAAGAATCCTGTCATTGAAGAGAGTTGGAATCATTTTTAAAGATGTGAAAGGCACATGTTTTATGCAGATAATACAGTTCTAGTCTAGTGGTAATGTACAGGGTGGGTCCATATCGCATTTTGTATAGATCCCTCTTTTGTTTGCGATATCTATTCTGATGTAAAATGTGGGCTCTGAGCATTATTTCAGGAACTGCAAGATAACTTTTGCCTTTTTGTGTTCATTGTTCTTGTCTCTGTACTCATTTATCACTAAAGGAATTTGGTTTTATAAGTGGAATAATTGTGGACTCTGAACAACATTTAGCTAAGTTCTTTAACTCCTATTCATGAAAGTTGGTGTTGGGAAGCCACTGATCATGGTAGAGCTCCTTTGCCTTCTTGAGTTTTCTGTCTGTGTGTTTTTCTGACGAATGATGGCTGATCCTTTTTGTAAGTGCCGCTGATCATCTTCCAATGGCATTTTCTCTTCCTTCCCAAATTCTCAGCCGTCTTGCTGTCATAGACATTTCTGGTGTCCTGACCTTCTTTGACTTGGACGCTCGCGTGACAGACAGCACGGGGCAGCAGACAATAGGCGAGCTGTTGAAGCTGGAGCGTAAAGATGTCTGGGATATGAAATGGGCCAAAGACAATCCAGACTTGTTGGCAATGATGGAGAAGACAAGGATGTATGTGTTCAGAAACCTGGATCCCGAGGTAAAAGCGAGGACTGGGGGGGAGGCTGGAGCCTGGGCGCGTTGCCGGGCGCTCCGAGGCTGGGGTTCCTAAGCACAGATAGAGAACGCGTCCCTGTAATTTATGGGCGTGCGTCTGCATGCTTTTAGAATGGCTTTTCCTTCTGATGCTGTCTCTTCCTCCTCCCCTTTTCTTGTGACACAGGCATCACTGAGCCTGGTCCCTGCCCCATCGGTGAAGGAGGATGTGTTTTCCCGGCTCCTCCCAGGGCTGTGTGTAGTCATAGCAACGCACGCAGTGTTCGGTTTCGTGCGGATGCTCTCTCCCATTATGTTGTCCTGCTGTGTGTTATTTTGGGGGGCACCTACTTTTAATTCCTTTGGACATTCCTGACTTTCTCTGAAAGGACCTGCAGTAAACATGTGACTGTGGTCCACCTCGTGACAGAGAAGCCCTGGGCCCCGAGGCAGGCTGAGACCTGCGTGTTGTGGAGACAGTCAGTGGAAGTCATTTGTCGGGCTTGACTATGAGTATTTGTTCCCAGAGTTTTGGTTTTGGTCTTTTTCTTTCCAATATTAGGGGCTGTGGGAGGGGGAGAAAGTAGTTTTTGGTTAATTGCAGAGACTTAAATTAAAAGGAAGAAAAGACAGGAGCTCTGAAGATAGAGGTGCGATCGATGGGGCTGGGATGAAAAACCTACCCTCTTGGTGGATTGGGAGTCCCTGTTAAATTGTCCTCAGAGACACCTGTACTCAGGCTGTCACCCCTTTGGCTGTCTGGCCGTGCCTGGCCTGTCACTGGCACTTGGCCGAAGCTCGTGGAGTCCTTGGTTACAGCATCCTCGGCTCCCCGCTTGTCCCCCCTGCCCCCTCACTCTCATCTGTTCCCTGTTTATCGATGAGCAGAGCAGGCCTAGCCGAGCTAATCCCCACTGGCACAGGGAACCGCTGCCCCGCGGAGGGCAGGGCTGCCTTATCTCCCGGGTCCTCAGGAGCCGTCCAGACCCGTCATGCTTGGCTCTGTGGGCAGAGCTAGTCCGGAAGCTGCAGTGAGGCCGATTCAGGCCAGGTGTGAGGAGGAGCTTGCTGCTCCTGGGACAGAGGGGGGAGGGGGCCTTCCCCAGCACAGTGGGACACAGGTGAGCTAAATAGTTGGATGATGGGCCAGTCTGGAGGGGCTCCTCAGCTCCGACCCTGGCACTGAGAATCAGGGGCTGCCTGGAGACGGGAGCCCCCTTGTGGCTTCTCCACCAAACCCTGAGCGGAATGCCCTTACTTCTCCCACATATCGCCCGCTGAGACCTGCTTGGGTCAGAGTGATCTGGACTTGATAAAAGGCCTCATGTTGTGATTTCCCTCTGAGGCTTGTTTTAAGCTTGAAGCCAGCCTCTGTACTGTTTAGACCTTGAGCAGCAGCACTGCAGCTGAACTGGGAAGGCCCAGGGCTGAGGGCATCCATACCTTGGGGCTGCTGGACGTGGTGCTACCTCCTGGAGACTCATGGCAGGGGCATTAGGGCAAAGGGGGGTGAGGTGGCTGTGGAGGCGGACTTGTACGTCCAGTGTCCCTTCCGGTTGGGTGGGCTCTGCACCCCATCTTCCGGTCAGTGTGGTCAGATGCTTGTGGGTGTGCCAGGCTGCACAGAATGGGGTGTGTGTGTCTCATACTCACCCATTCCTTCCCGTGCATGCAAATGCATGTACACACGCATGCACACACACACACACATGCACACACACATGCACACACACACACAGAAGCAGTCAGTGCTGAGTGAAATGTTCTCCTGGTGGAAGATTGTTTCTCAGGAAGCTTGAATAGAAAAGGCCACTTCTAGGGGCATGAGCTTCTGTTCTGGGCCTGGCTCCCTTACTGTTTGGCTTGAGTTAGTTTTAGAGGGAGGTGGGTTTCCGGGAGCTTGACCGCTGTCTGGACTTCTCTCTGGAGCCTCCCGTTCCTTAGCAAAGGCCGAGGCTGTGGGTGTTCAGTGGGCAGTGGGGCTCACGTCCTCTGGAATCCGTCCCTCTACCTGCTTGTTGACATTCTGAGGACATGCTTTTAAACAGGCCTCTTCTCGGCGGCCTGTGAAAGCCCGTGCTGTGCCCTTTCTGACCACGAGATGAAGCATTTTTTCTTGAAAATTTTAGAGGTTAGCCACAAATTCCAGGCTCACACCTTTCTTTGATTTGCCCATGAAACTTTGTGGGTGGCACTCTGTCTCCCAGCTCTTTTTTTGCTGACAAGGACATTTCCATTGAGGATTGAGGGCAAGGAGTTTATTTTTCTTGAAGGACTTGTGAGGACGTTGTAGACCTTGTGGCATCGTGCTGAAATCTTCCCTGCGGCTTCGGCTTGGCCTGCTCCTTCTCCAGGCTCCTTCCAGGCGCTCATCTGGCTGCGGGGCCTTACTTGGGTTTCCCTGGGCCTGCAGCTCCGGCTCGGCCTGCTCCTTCTCCAGGCTCCCTCCAGGCACTCCTCTGGCTGCGGGGCCTTGCTTGGGTTTCCCTGTGCCCTGCGGCTCCGGCTGGCCTGCTCCTTCTCCAGGCTCCCTCCAGGCACTCCTCTGGCTGCGGGGCCTTGCTTGGGTTTCCCTGTGCCCTGCGGCTCCGGCTTGGCCTGCTCCTTCTCCAGGCTCCCTCCAGGCGCTCCTCTGGCTGCGGCGCCTTGCTTGGGTTTCCCTGGGCCCTGCGGCCACTGCTTTTGGATCCTGACTTAGCTCGCTTCTTCTTTTTGTGAAACAGCCTCGTGAACCAGGGGGTGGGGGGTGGGAGATATCATCGGGTGGTCCCGGGCCTTGGCTCAGTCATCCCACAGGAGGACTCCTGACGTCAGGCAGCCTTGGAGTCTGTGTTCTGGCAGCCCTTCTTCCTCTCCTTCCAGGCTCGGTGAAGGGTGTGCTCTCCTCTCTTTCATGTCATGAGTGGCCATGAATTCCAGCCAAAACCGCTCTTCTCCCTTCGTGCTTTCCCAGGTTTTAAGTTTGTTATCTCCTACTTGTCTCTTTCTTTTGTCAGCATTGAGCCCACAGTAAAAATGGGCCGGGGACAGATGTGTGGTCACATCACCAGCTGGTGTCCTGCGGCTCCCGGAGAGCGCTAGCTGCCTCTAAGTGCTTTCTTTTCCTTTTTCTCTGAGGAGATTCATTCCTGTTCACACATTTCTGTCTTGTTATTGTCTGGTCGCTTTTAGGAGAAATGTTGGCGTCTGGTAATGTTTTCTCAGAGAATGCAGCCACTTGAATGGGTTTTATGATTTGGGTGAAAAGCTTGGACCCAGTAGAACTCTGCCGTTCCCGTTCTCTCCTGGTCAGAGAGCCCGCAGAGCCAAGCCCAGCTCCAGCCTCGCCCTCTGGGGCCACTTAGCTCCAGTTAGGTTTGATAGCTTTTTTCCTCACGGTTCTGGCAGTTTTTACCTTTGTTCATTCCAAAGGGCTGACTCTCAGAGATGAACCTGTTGCCCCTTTCTTTCTGGTTACTGTTCTTTTGATCATCTGAACCTGTTCTGATGTTGTATCAGCTTCTAGGATAACGAAGCTGTTGCCCCAGGGCCGCGTCATTGTGATTCTCAGCTTTAGAGCCTAGCACAGGACAGGTTTTTGGAAGCACACTTGTGGCCACAGTTGCTCACGGTGTTTGTTAGTCTTTCTCTTACACGTGGAGTTCTGTGTCACTCCAGCATCGTATTTGACATCTTTGATTGGCCGACGTGTCCTCGTGCAAAGCGACATCCCTTCTGTTAGAGGAGAGCCTGTGAAAAGCCTTCAGATTGCTGTTTTAAGCAGAGGAAGCTTAGATGCCTAACTAGACATGAGGAAGACTTTGTATAAATAAAAAATAAGATTGGTTTGTCTTTTAAAGGAACCCATTCAGACTTCTGGATACATTTGTAACTTTGAAGATTTGGAAATTAAATCGGTTCTCTTGGATGAAATACTAAAGGTAATGCCCTTTTCTTGTTTTACTTCTCAACTCACTGTTTGGCTGAAGAAAAGGGTCACATGGAGAGCTGGAGTCCACTCTCCTGCTTGAGATGTAGTGCATGACTCCTTGCTTCCCTTCCAGTACCTTTAAGTTGTCCCTTCTGCTTCTGGGTGTTCTCTGAGGCCCCTAGCACCACCCAGGGTGCCTCAGTGGAAGTTCTCCTGGTGTCCGGGGTGGGGGGCTTATTGCTGCAGGGTTTGCCCTCAGAACCCTCCCCTGGGCTCTGACCCTGGGGACTGTCACCTCTGCCAGCAGAAGGGTCTTTAGGGGCACTTTGGTCCTGGTGGCTGTTGCTGGGTGGGGGTCTAGAGGACCGGTGATCTTGCTGCAGGGCCGATCCTCCTCCTCCCCCCAGCTTCATGTTCACTTTGGACAAGTCTCAGAGGGTCAGTGGCTGAATAGGCCATTCCCTCCCCTTCCCTGGGCCTCTCTGCAGGGATCACCTTTCCTTGTTAAAAAGACCAGGTGTAGGTATGTTTTAAGGAAGTGCTTGGGAATTTCTGGTTTCATTTTGTCATTCTAGAACCCTGAACACCCTAATAAGGATTATATCATTAACTTTGAGATCCGATCCCTGCGAGACAGTCGAGCGTTGATTGAGAAGGTCGGCATTGATGATGCTTCCCAGTTCATTGAGGACAATCCCCATCCCCGGCTATGGTAAGAACTCAGCCCAGCTCTCGGCTTCCTCAGTGTCTGCAGTGGGGGCGGGCCCGGCCCTTTGGTTCTTGACTCTTCTTCCTTTTCTAGATGGGCTTTGGGCAGCACTAGGTGGGAGTCCTTCCAGTGAAGCCCCATCGTGTACCATCTCATTCAAGCCTCCAATGGCCTGGGGGGTGGGGGAGGTCCTGGGAGGATGGGCGTCCCAGTGTTAGAGATGAGGAGACTGAGGCTGCCTGGTCCGAACCAGGCTTTCTGGTTCCAGGCCCAAGCTCATCTATGCTAGAGATGGGGCAAAGCCCGCTCTGCCTCCCTGCACTAGAAGCAGATGGGTCAGGACTCCATCTCTGTGTTTCCGAGCAGGCGCCTGCTGGCGGAAGCCGCCCTTCAGAAGCTGGACCTGCAGACGGCCGAGCAGGCCTTCGTGCGCTGCAAGGATTACCAGGGCATCAAGTTTGTGAAGCGGCTTGGCAACCTGCAGAGCGAGTCCATGAAGCAGTGCGAGGTGGCAGCCTACTTTGGCCGGTTTGAGGAGGCGGAGAGAATGTACCTGGACATGGATAGAAGGTGAGCTGGCAGCGGCCTGCCCCCGGCAGGGTCTGAGCAGAGATGCCCATGGACTTGGTACATCGGGGTGAGGCCGTGCGTGGCAGGCACATCCCTGGCCGCTCTCTGGTGCCTGCGCCCTCTTCCCTTTCAGTCTGTCCTGTGTGCGCTGCCCGAGGAGTCTTCAGGCTTGCATCTGCCTGTGTCACTCCCTGCTTCCAGACCCTTCCTAGCCGCCTCCCTAGGTCTTGGGAAGCAGCCTCCCCATAGGCCGCTGCCCCTCCCCCCCCAAGGCCCCCGAGGCCTTGTGCTGAGCTACCTTGTTAAAAAGTCTGAACTCAGCATTAAGTTAAAAGGTCATCTCTGTAGACAAAGCAGAACTGTGAGACTGCAGCTCTGTGCCTCACGTGGCCTGTTTCCCCTTTGAAGGGTGGAATCGATTTAATAGAGGTTTGTGAGGAAAGCTGTCGGGGTGTTAGTGGGCTCCATCCACGGAGCCGTCCCAGGTCATGCCCTTTATGAGTCACACAACTGGTGTTCACAGGCGCCTGCGAGGACGTGGCCTCTGTTTTTCCAGGGTTGGCAGGTTCTTTGTGGAAGAAGCATTTGAGTGTCTTGCCTGTCCGGAAAGCCAGAGAGCCAGGATAGGGCGCTGCCAAGAGGCCAAAAGAGGGCATTCCTCCCTGGTGGGAGGGCTGCAACCAGAGGCCGGATGGCTGGCGGTCTGAGGTGTCGTCCATGGAATTCCTGTTCCTGTGTGGAGCATTCATTAGGTGCTTACTGTGTGCTCTGCTCAGTGCTAAGTGACCTCGCTCTGAGGCTGCCATTTTGAGCAAGCTTTGTCTCCCTCAGCAGACCGTGCAAGGTCTTGGGTCTCGTTTATGTCCGTACACAGTAAAAAAAAGAGGAATTACTGCAGAATCAAAGAGACTCCCTTCGACACTTATTTGTGTTTTTTAACTCCGTTTTTGGCAGTTGGATGAGTGACTATTCTGTTCCTTGGCTCTCGCCTCTCTTCTTCTTATCCATGTAGGGCAGAAACCCCCCAAACAAGCAAGAATCAGGGGCGGAGAACCTGCAGCCTCGAGGCCATATGTGGCCTTCTACCTTCTAGGTCCTCAAGTGCAGCCCTTTGATTGAGTCCAAAGTTCACAGAAATCCTCTTCATAAAAGGATTGGTTCTGTAAAACTTGGACTCAATCAAAAGGCCGCACCCGAGGACCTCGAGGGACACATGTGACCTCGAGGCCGCGGGCTTCCCACCCATGTCCTATGTTGTATTTGTACAGCTCAGGTTAGATTTGACCATTAATACATCAGATTTGTGAAACAGCTGTCTTTATGGGTGTAAACTGCCCTTATCCTTAGTCAATGTTGTTTGAAATCCAGAAAGAGGGATGTCTGATGCAACCAATCAGAATGCATTTAGTAAGCACCTAGTGTGTGCAGGTACTGTGCTAAGTCCTGAAGATACAGAGAAAGGTAAAAACAGCTCTGGGCCTCACGCTCATAATCCAGCGGGGAGACCTCATTTCAGTCACCAGATACCTCTGTGTCCTCTGTAGAGGGTAGATGGAAGGCACACTGAACATTATCTTTTCCAAAGTAAGATCATAGACCTTTACCAAGGAGGGACAGCAGAAATCTTGTTCTGTAGGTGTCCTACCCGCTGCTCAGGATTAGAAGGCCTGTGGTAATGCGCTTCTGAGGCCCTGCTGAGGTTTTAGGGTCTACCCCATGTCTTCCTGTCGTCTGTAGGGACCTGGCCATCGGCCTTCGATTGAAATTGGGAGACTGGTTCCGGGTGCTGCAGTTACTGAAGACGGGATCTGGTGATGCTGACGACAGCCTCCTTGAGCAAGCCCACAATGCCATTGGAGACTACTTTGCTGATCGACAAAAATGGTACCTGTCTGGACCTGCCCATGTGTGTGTATGGTGCCCAGAGGCGGGCGATGGTTGCTGCTGCCTTTGGAGGATGTGTCAAGGCCACTAGGGGTGCCACAGGGCAGGCCCTGGGGGCAGGAACTGGTTTCTGCCTCAATGTCCTCATCTGTAAAGTGGGGCTTTCCTTTCCCTTTGACAAGCCCATATCGGCACATGACTTAACACAAAGGAAGGAGCTGCATGACTCGGCTAGTCCCAGCCTTGGGGCCGCAGGTGTTTGCAAAAGCTCAGGAGTTTTGGAAGCCTGGGCTGAGCTGGAGGCCCAGGCAGCTTCTCCCTCCCTTCGCCCTGGTCTGAGGCCCTTGATGCCTCAGAGCAACCTTTCCTTGTGGGATTCATTTGTAACCAGGAGAAGGTGGACTTTCCTTCTGGAGATCCCCAACCATGTCCTTTTTGAGGACTTTGTACCATGCCCTCATCTTTAGGGGCCGGTGTGGAGAATAGAGGTGAAGAGAGCACTCCCGGCCTGGTGGGGGAGCGAGGCGGATGACCCACTCTGACTAGCGAGGGCTCCCAGCTGGTCGTGCTAGCATGGAGGACGGCAGTGCCCAGCCGTGGTCCGTCACACTCTTTGTCTGCACAGGTTGAATGCCGTACAGTATTACGTGCAAGGTCGAAACCAGGAGCGCTTGGCCGAGTGTTACTACATGTTGGAAGACTACGAGGGTCTCGAGAACCTGGCCAATTCCCTGCCAGAAAACAACAAACTTCTTCCTGTGAGTGTTTTCAGATGGGGTGCAGGCACTTTGCTGATGTCCTTGCCCTGGGAGAAGGGCACTTTGCCAGGTAGAAGAACTTTGGAGCCTTGATTCTGGCCCCAGGACCTCTCCTTCCACCCCAGGGGTCAGAGCACAGGACTTCAGGGGTCAGTCCGGGGGAGTGAGGGGTCTTGGCATCAGACACTGTCCGAGCACACACCATGGCTTTGCAGAGCAGGTATTCCTTTGAGGGAGGGGTTGCTTGCAGCTGTCCCTCCGTGACCTCTTGGCCTCTGGGAACCTTGTCTGGGTCTGGGGATCTGGGCAGGTGTGTGTGTGGAACTGAGGCAGAAAGGGGCAGGGTGGTTCAGGGTTGCATCATGGAGACGCACAGGATGCTTGTCATGGAAATGGGAAGGTCAGCCAAGCAGCGGGAGCGGCCGTCCTTTTCCTTGTGATCTAGACCTTTGTGCTTGCCACCCAGGCTGGAGCCAAGTGTCCAGTGTGGCTAAGCTCTCTAGAGTGTGCCTTCGAGGCTTCCCACCTCCCATTATTGATCACCAAGAGCGAGTGAAGAGACCCAAGTTCCATGCACTGCGGAGGGGAAGGAAGGGTAGGCACCACGGGGCAGAGCTGGCAGCGTCCTGGCTTCAACCTGGGGACCTTGTACAGAGCGCCTCACCTTTGCCCTCTGTTTCTTCTTCTGTAAAATGGGAGTCAGTAGAGGGTGGGATCACTTCCATCTCTAAATGGACGATCCCTGAGCTGTGTAGACAGCTTAGAGTGAATGAGCAAAGAGCACTCCCGGTTCTGCTTAAGGACAGGGCCGCGGTCAGCGGGGTCCATCCCGGGGTGATGGAAAGATGGCGGCTTGCAGAAAAGTCCTCTGGGACCTGGTCAGGTGACTCCTGGCCAGATCCCAGTTTCTGTCATTGTTACAGGAGATTGCCCAGATGTTGGTGAGGGTCGGGATGTGTGAGCAGGCTGTGGCCGCCTTTTTGAAGTGCAACCAACCCAAAGCCGCTGTGGACACGTGCGTGCACCTGAACCAGGTGAGGCATCGAGCTGCCTGCGCAGCACCTCAGCCCTTCGTGCCACTCCACTCACCTTCCTAGAGCAGGTGGAGCTTAGGAGGGTGGCTGTCGGTCCTCTGGTTTGATTGTGAGGAGGCTGTGGCAGGTTTGGAGGGAGCTAGAGGGTGGCGTGGTGTGCAGAGTCAGGGTGTGTGTGTGTGTGGTCCAGGGGGAGTAACCTGGGGGCAGGAAAAGGGAAGCCCTGTTTGTTAAGCACCTGCTGTGTGCCAGGCATGCGCTCAGTAGGAGCTTTGCAGAGCTACATGAGCTACAGCCCCATGAGGTGGCAGGGAGAGGCCTTTACTGCGGGCCAGGGAGACTCTTGGGGGCCATTCTCCTCTCTCTCCAGATAAGATCCAGGAGGTTCTCTCCCATTCCCCCAGGCTGTGTGTGTGTGTGTGTGTGTGTGTGTGTGTGTGTGTGTGTGTGTGCACACGCACGTGTCTGCTTGTGTGTGTGTGTGTGTGTGTGTATGTGGGGTGGTACCCGGGGCTCAGGAAGCCGACGGTCAGCACAGGCAGCCTTGTCCTCTTTGTTTTGAGGAGCCTGTCTTCATTCCCACAAGAGTCCTTTTCTTGACCCTGAGACGGCTTTGCGCTTATTTCCTGGCTCTTCTGTCTTTACTCTTCTGGGTACATATTCTTTCTCCCACATAGAATGTAAGCACCCCGAGGGCAGGTCCTGGGTCTCTGGCTCCTAGCCTGGTTCTTGACATATAGAAGGCTTGTTGAGTTGGACTGAAGGTTAGTCTGGCAGCTTTGTGTGCAGAAATCATCTCATCATTCCCTACGTTTTATTAGGAGTTTGTTTGTCTTTTTTTTTGGTCACAGCCAGGGGAAGGAACCGCGTGGACGTACCTTAGATTTCTTTGGACTTAGCTGTTCCTCTTCCCTTCCTGGTGTGTCTAATTGATATTGTAGAAAGATATGGAATGAGATAAATGAAAATGCTCAGTTAGGATAGGAAGGGCCTCTTACCAGCCTGCAGAGTAGGAGCATCCGGTGAAATACATTTTGTGAAGAAGAAAGTGCTGCTGCCTTTGTGAAAATAGTGGATGAGCTGTGCATGGTCCCGATCTGAAACAGCACCTTTGCTTGACTGTGGGAAAATGCATTTTTGTTTTCTTGTGTTTGGTGCTGGTTGAGTGTGCCTGGAAATGTGGAGCCTCCACGGCCGTAGTGCAGCTTCCATCTACAGGACTCACGGTACTTTTGTGGGTGTGGCACGTCAGCTCCAGGCCAGCAGTCCGTCATTTCCCCGTGGCCTGGGTTAGCCAGGTGCTGGCATCACAGCCTCTGTCTCTTTAACATCTGTGTTGGTTTTCTGTGCTTGGCTGGAAAACTGCACGTTGTGGGTTCTCTTGTGTGTCCTCAGTGGAACAAAGCCGTCGAGCTGGCTAAAAATCACAGCATGAAGGAAATCGGCTCCTTGCTGGCTCGTTATGCGGCTCACCTGCTGGAGAAGAACAAGACTCTGGACGCCATCGAGCTCTACCGGAAAGCCAATTACTTCTTTGACGCCGCTAAACTCATGTTCAAGGTACGGCCGCTCCCTGTTAGGGAGTGCATCGAGGGTCATAGCGGGCTGGGGAGGGGGAGGCCCTTTGTTCTTGGAGCCAGCTTCCTCGTCCACGCGGCGGAGGCTGGATGAGGGCTCAGCTGACTTGGCAGGAGGAGGACGCTCCCTGGTCACCCCATGCAAGTGTTCCTCCTTTAGTTATGGGGCAGCTGACGTAACTCGGGACCTTGTGTGTGGGGCCTTCGGTGGGGGAGCTCCTGGGGAGCCAGGGTGGGCTGCTGCCCTGATTGTCTGTTCTAAGATTGCGGATGAAGAAGCCAAGAAAAGGTCCAAGCCTTTGCGAGTGAAGAAGCTGTACGTGCTGTCGGCTCTGCTCATAGAGCAGTACCACGAGCAGATGAAGAACGCCCAGCGGGGAAAGGTTAAAGGGAAGAGTTCAGAGGTGAGAGCTCCTACCCTCTTCTGGGCTTCCCTCCTCCTGCCATTGACGTTGGGCTTTGGGCCGAGACTGAGAGGGTAGATCAGCATTTATGGGGGGGGACAGTCCTTGCCTCACTGCTTTATTGGCCTTAAGAACATCATTGATGAAATGGGTATGCTTTTTAAATGGAGTTTAATTACATTTTCTTAGAATGAGTTTCTTATTTTCATGGGTGTAAACACCATATTTTAGCAAATAAATCCCTTTGAAACATGTACTTAAATTTTTAAAAATTAACACCAATTGATCATAATATGTGTTATCATGGAAAACTTTATTTTTAATGGAGTTTCTGAAAGGCTGTGTTCTCTTCCCTTGGTGCCCAGCACGTCTCTGATGTGACCCCTCAGGTACCACCCACCCTGAGACTTTACTTTAGCAATGTCCCATTCCCACAAAAAAAACTAAATTAAAACCAAACTAAGTCCAAACCACAACTGCTTAGCTAAGACGTAGATGAGTAGGTGAGGAAGACAATTGGTGGTGCCGCAGTCCCTAGAGTGTTGGGCCTAGGGTCAGGAGATCCGAGTTCAAATCTACCCTCAGACACTCTTTAACTCCGAGTGAGGCATTTAGCCTGTTTCCTCTGTGAATGGGAATAATGGTAGCAGCTACTCGAGAGGATTGTTGTGAGGATCAAATGAGACAGAGTGGGCACTGTGTAAGTCTTTACTCCCTTCCCTCCTCCTCTACCTGAAGACAGGGTTTGGCCCCGTGAACCTAGCTTCTCTTTCATGAAACCTGGGAAACCTCAGTTGAGCCTCATCCGTCGGGCTGGAAACCTGGTTTCAGAATTGAGACAACCTGACTTCTTTGGCCCTGCTGATGTCAAGACAGTTCAGCTGGGCTGTGTCAGGTTCCTCAGAAACTATGACCTGGCACTGTCTGGCTGATGGACTGCTGCTAAAAATTCCATACATTCATGCGCCTAAGAGGATTCATTGTTATCATTAAAAAATTTAGGGGCAGCTAGGTGGCGCAGTGGATGGAGCACTGGCCCTGGATTCAGGAGGACCTGAGTTCAAATCTGGCCTCAGACACGTAACACTTACTAGCTGTGTGACCCTGGGCAAGTCACTTAACCCCATCGCCTAGCCAACAAACAAACAAACAAAAAATTTGGCCTGTCCTCAGAGATTTCTGATTAGCTCATTCCAGAAAAGCTCAGACGCCCCGGTCTACCTTCTGCCCTTGAAAGGGGCCGGCTTAGTTCCTAGAGGCGAATGTCAGGCCCTCTGTTTGCAGGCTACCTCAGCCTTAGCTGGCTTGCTCGAGGAGGAAGTCCTGTCTTCAGCTAATCGGTTCACAGACAATGCCTGGAGAGGGGCCGAAGCTTACCACTTCTTCATCCTCGCACAGAGGCAGCTGTATGAGGGCTATGTCGACACCGCTCTGAAAACAGGTGAGCAGAATGTGCTTGGGAAGCCCTTGTATGTGATCCTTTGAGCGCCCATTCTCTAGATTTGGTGGCGAGGCAGGGCCAGCTAGGGACAAGGACAGAAAACAGGAGTGGACTAGTGAGGCTTGTCTCGTGCAGGCAGCCAGATGAAAAACCCTAAAGATTTGATGGTCATCTGATTGTGAAAGACAGTGTATCCATCCTCCATGTGCTTATTTATCTTATTTGGTGAAATAAGTAATTTGATTACACCATAATATACCGTAGGTGAATCACCAAGGCCTGCCTACGTAAGAGAATGGGCCTTGAACGAGGCTGTTCTGATGCCGGGCAGCTTTACGGAGCTCAGCTCTGCAGCAGAGAAATGCAGCAGGAGCTCAGTCCCGCCGGTGGCTAATTCCCTCCTACTGACAACTCACCTGCACCTTTCTTCGTTGCTGTATTTGTGCCTTCTTGTGTTTCTGTTGTCTGGGGTTTTCACAAAGCAAAGAATCTGCTTACATTTGGTTTTCTTTGCAAGAAAACTTCAAATCCTGCTTTTTTATTTAAAATCATCTTTTTTCATGGGTTGTTAGGCTGAGGTTTGTAAGGTAGGTCAGCCTGGGTTGCAGTGTGGAGTCGTCAAAGCGTATTATTCCATTACCTTCTTTGCTTTCAGGCAGGTATTAAGGAGTCTTGTTTTATTCAGGTTTTGTTTCCTCATTTACATTTGAAGGTTTTTCTCCTGGTCAGTTGCAGAATATATTGTTTGTCATTGGAATTGCTATATGTAACTGCAACGTGTCTTGGAGTTTGCAGCATAGGGCTTTTTCTGGAGGTGGTCTGTGAGTCCTTTCACTTGACGCTGTGTTGTTATTTCGTGTGTTGTACGTGTGTGTGTTGTGTGTGTTCAGAATTTTTGGATAGTTTTCTTAGATTATTTCTTGCATTACAGTATTCAAGTTTTTTTTACTTGTCATGTTCTTCTGGGAGACCTGTCATCCTTAAATTGTTTCTACACATCCTCTCTCTGAGATCAATTATGTTTTGCTTGTATGGAGATCACATTTACATTTAAAAGTTCCAGGCTACCTACCACCTCTGTGTATTTGCATTCTTAATCTGTTGTTTTCTCTTGTTCCTTTTGTGAGGTTTGCCAACGTGGATTCAGTTTTTTCATTCCACCAGTTACTTCTGCTGTGCCAGCTATAAGTTCTGCTCTCGCAAGCCTCCTTTCCCTCCTAATTCATTCAGGGACGGCATTGTGGGGACACTCTTGGCAGTCCCCAGGGTCCTCGGCCTCATCAGGGGTTTCTTGCAGTATTCATCCATAGATGTCTGGACTCACGTACAGGATGTGGGGGCCATCTGCCCATCTCTTTTTATTTTATTTTATTTTTTAGGTAATTGGGGTTAAGTGACTTACCCAGGGTCACACAGCCAGTAAGTGTTACATGTCTGAGGCCAGATTTGAACTCAGGTCCTCCTGACTTCAGGGCCAGTGCTCTATCCACTGCGCCACCTAGCGGCCCCCCGTCTTCTGGTCTCTTAATAATATTTTTCCTGTTGGTTTGTCTGCTTGTCCTCAGGGTCTTTAGCGAAGTTCTCTTCCTCTTCAGGTCTTTCGTAATTTCAGTCTCTCCCCACCCACAATATTCCTTTATTGCCTATTTTCCAGCATGAGCCTCAGTAAGCTTAGCTAAGCTGACCTTGGATTCAGAATCAGAGGATTTGAGTGTTGGAAGGGACCTCCCTGGTCATCTAGTCCAACGCACCTCCACAGGGAATCCCCAGCTCCAGTGATGAGCTCACTTCCTGCGCAGGCAGCCCACCCCACCTCTGGGACAGCTTCCTCCCACAGTTCCTGGTTCTGCCCTTGGGCCCAGCAGAACATGGCCAGTCTCTGCCATGTAATAACAGGTCTCACGTCCCCACCGTTCACATTTGTAGTTGCCCAGGGCCTGCATGCGCTCCGCTTTGTCAGCGTCCTTTCAAAATGTGGTGCCCAGAACCCCCACGGAGTGCCTGCGCAGACGGGCCATCCTGCCCTGCCTTATTCTTGTACACTTGGCCTTTCTTTGTGGGGTGGCCTCGCACCGAGCTGATGTTGTGCTGTCTGCGAGGCTGGTCTACCTTGTTTTGTGCGTGAGCTGGATCTCTGCACGCTAGAGTCTCCCCTCGACTCCAGTTCAGCTGTCTCTGATTCGATTCTACCCCACATCCCACGTCCTACCCTTTCTGGATGGTGGGGAGTCCTGAGCCTATCATCCTCCCTCTCCCTCCTGTTTGTGGCTTGTGCCCCAGCTCCTCCCTCCAGGAAGTGGGTTGGAGAGAGGCTCTTTGTGATCCGGGAGGAGGAGGCTCCTCCGGCTGTTTGCACAGCAAGATGGCTTTCCCATTCCTCCTGTTCCAGCCAGGGGTGGTGTGGATGGGCCAGGGCTTTTGCCACATTCTTGGCAGACTTTTCTCTGCTCCTGGGTCCTTGGCATTTCTGCTCATGGGCACCCTCTTTGTTTCGGCCCCTCCTGAACCCTGAAAGGTGAGGTGAGTGAGGGTTCAGTGAAATGACTGTTCTTGTTGCCTTTGGGGGGGGTGGTGAAACAGGTCCTTGATTTGCCCCTCCAAGGAGATGCTGTGAACTGTCCTACTGTCCACACCTTCTTCACGTTCCACGTTTCCTTCACAGTTGTGAATATCCTTCCTTCCTTCTCCATTTGTTGGCGGGGGGACAAGGGCTGCCTCTCTGGAATGACACCAGTGTGATCAGTGTGTGGAGCCCACCTCCCCCTTGTCCGCTACTGTCCTTGCAAAGGGAGATTGTGGTGGGACAGGGCTGGGAGCCATTTTGAATTCTCTTTGCTTCCTAAAGGGTCACCTTCACTGGCCAAAGAATCGGTTCCCTGGTGGCCGCCCTGGCAGAAATGAGTCTGTTGGCACTTTAGCAGATGGGTAGGGGGCCTCCAACTGCAGGCAAACACAGTGATATGGAAGTGCATGTTAAATATGTCAAGTTTCCTTTTGCTGCAGTGAAAGATTAAGCAGCACAAAGAACACTAACATATGTTTGTCCTGTGTGTGCACGTGTGCTCGCGTACTCGTCTAGCTTGGTACAACTCCATCCTGCTATATTTTTCTTTTTTTTTTCTTTCTGGTGAGACATTTGGGGTTAAGTGACTTGCCCAGGGTCAAACAGCTAGTAAGTGTCAACTGTCTGAGGTCAGATTTGAACTCAGGTCCTCCTGACTCCAGGGCTGGCTGCCCCTACCAAGGTGCCTTTAAATGAGTAGCATGACCCCTCCCCCCAACCTTTGTTCCCCGTGGCCTTTCCCCAGGCCCCATGACAGGGTCCAGGGCCACACCTGTAAGGACCCACCACGTAAAGACCTGCGTTGACTTCCTAGCTCTCCACCTGCGGGACTACGAGGACATCATCCTGCCGTGGAGATCTACTCCCTGCTGGCTCTGTGTGGGTGTGCCAGCCGGGCCTTTGGGACCTGCTCCAAAGCCTTCATCAAGCTGGAGTCCTTGGAGACCCTGAGCCTGGAGCAGAAGCAGCAGTACGAGGATCTGGCTCTGGAGATCTTCACCAAGCACACCCCGAAGGACAAAAGTCAGAGCTGGACAGTCTCCTGGAGGGGTGAGTGGGGCCTCCCTCGGGGACCCCCGGGTGCCCCCAGGAGTCGGAGACATTTCCTCCAGAGTTCATCTCCGCAGTTCTCTCATAGCGTTCAGTGGTCTGGAGAAGGGGCTGGTTCAGGCTCAGAATTGGGGACTGATTTTTTTCTCTCCTTCCTGCAGTGGAGAAGGGAAGCTCCCGACGTGTGTGGCCACGGGAAGCCCCATCATGGAGTACCAATTCTGGATGTGTAACGTGTGCAAGCACTGTGTCCTGGCCCAGGAGATCAGCAACTATAACTTCTGCCCCCTGTGCCACAGCTCAGTGGGGTAGCAGCTGGTGCGGGGAAGTGGGGGATGGGGTGCCTAGGGACTTCACAAGAGGAAATACACTCTCCTCCCTGGGCCCAGGGGCTGTCTGTTTTGTTTTGGGATATGCCTAGGGGAAGATGCACCCAGTCCGTATTAGGTAAAAGTCACACTTCAAGCGCTGAGCACAGATGCGCTCTGGCTGCGTCCACGCGGCTCTGGGACCAGCAGGACATAGGCTTTCCTGGTGTGGCTCTGTGTCTGATCTCTAGTCTCAGGGAGGCAAAGGTGGCCCTCAGATGGGCGGGTGCCTTCTCTTCTGTTTTCCAGGCTTGTTCTTGGGAGACAGCGTCCTCTGGACGGAACCCAGGCTCCCAAAGAGAGGCTGCCTCAGAGGGAGGATTATCTATTTAAGTTCCAAGATCGGAGATCTCGGATTTTTATTTGACGGTTCTTCTTTCATGGAGAAAACAATAAAACGATATCTTGTTGCTCAAATGACTTGTCTTTGTGTGCAGCTCTGTATTACAGTCAGCTTCACTGCATGTGTGATGCTTCCTCTCCGGGGTGTGCTGTGAGCAGATCGGGGCATCGGGGTGTCCAGGTCTCCTCTGCAACTCTGACAGATCGAAGGGCGTCGAAGAACTGCCATCTGATGATGTCTGCATTATCAGAATGGAGGCCAGCCCCAAGCAAACAGCATTTGTGGCTGCCTGAGCCAGTGTCTGATGACCAGGGGAGGACGGCCTCGGGCCTCCAAGGAAGGGTCACAAAGTCTAAGTGTTTGTTTGTGGGAGATGAAAGCCCAGCTTCCTTAACACCCACCTGTATAATACATAATACAACTGACTGACCAAAGCACATTCATTCATGGAGTGCTCCCTTTGTGCCAGACACTGACTCCAAAGCAAAGACGATGCCAGGTTCTAACAGAGATAACACCCCAGGGACCTGGTGGTCAGAGAGGGGCCCTCTAGTCCGGGAAGTTCCAGGGAGAGTGGGTGGGGCCGCAGGAGAGGAGACTGAGATGCTCCCTCCAGGAAGAATGGCTGAGGTGACTTGTTGACTGGTTCGTCATTCATGCCTTCAGAACTCCAGGGCAGGGCACAGGGGAGAGGAGGGAAATATTCAACTGTGCACTTGGGTGCTTTCAGGAATCTCTGATTTCCTCTGCATCTCAGCACATCATCACGAGCCATCCGTGATCTTCCACACATCACCAAGCATCTAGTGTGGGCCAGGCACTGGAGATACAAACAGTACGGGGAGTGGAGAATGCCCTCTGTTGCAGAGGTGAGGCCTCATGTGGGAGCTGGGCTTGGGCTGAGGGAGTGCTCCAGACAGCCCCCCAGAAGGGAGGCGGGAGAGAGCATTCCAGATTTGCGACAGGAGGCTGAGATGGATTGTGGTGCGGACAGCAAGGCACACGTGGGTGCGTGTGTGTGCACAAAGGGGAGCGATGTATGATACAGCGGGGAGGTTGTGAGGGGCTTCTGGTGCCAAGTGGAAGAGTCTGGAGCCGTCCTACGGGCAGTGGGGAGCATCGGGTTTCTTGAGAAGGCAGTGCCATGCTCAGCTGACGGCCATTCATTATGTGCTAGTCACTGCTAAACTCGGGGATACAAAGAAGGGCAAAAACACGTCCCGGCCCTGGAGGAGGTCACCTTCGGACAGGGGATAACTATGTACCTGGGCAGTGCTCTTAGAGGGAAGGCCCTGGGGGCCTGGGGAGGCTGGAGAAGGGAGAGCCTGGGGGGGGGGTCAGCCGATGGTGAGATCTGTGCCTCCGCAATCGCTCTGGCGGCCGTGAGGGGCACGGATTGCCGAGGAGACGCTGGAGGCACTGAAGGCCCCCTGCTGCTTACTATTAATGGCATTAACTGACTGCAGGCCTCCTCGCACAAGGTTTATGAAACTCTTTGCAGACTTTAACTCACTGGCTGATTAGAACAACTATGTGAGGCAGGCACCCCACACTCTATTTCCTCATTGTAGAGATGGGTAAACTGAGTTCAGGAGCCTGCTAAGGGTCCCGTCCGGGAAGCGTGAAAGCCCGGATTCGGAAGTGCTTACTATGGGGTATGCGCCTACATATTAGAGTGTGAGGAAGGCCACTTTGGGCCCAATCTCGAGAGACCACGAGGTGGCGGCGAAGAGGCAGAGCGCTGCAGGTGCAAAGGCCTGGAGACTGGAGATGGGGCGTAGCGGCGGGGCAGATTTCCGCCTCACGCAAGGCCACCTTCCCCGGGGGCCCGGGCTGTCTGCAGTGTGCGTGGGTGCCAGATGGGTTGTCCCTCCTTTACCGTCGATCCCCGTCTTACGGCGGCGCTGCCGTCAGCCATCCTCCCTCACGGCGACCTCTGTCGGGAAGGGCTGCTTTCCTTCGTCCCCGCCCATCTGAGCGGCTCGGGACGGCGTCCCCCGTGGTGGACTCGAGGAGGTGCTGGGCGGGTCCGGGCCGCGGCAGCGCCCCCTGCGGGCGGGCGTGGGAGGGCAGGCTCCTCCTGCTCCTGGCTCGGGGGCTGCTGAGGAGCCTCCCAGAAATGTCGCCCGGGGTAGGCGGCATCAGGGGTGGGGGCCGATGGCAGGGGGTCAGCCTCGATGGTCCCTACCAACCCTATCCTAGGGTGCCCACAAAAACAGGGCAGGGGGGTGGGAGGGACATCGCCCTCTGCTGGCCGCTCAGCCACACGCGCCAGTCTTTCCTCAGATGAAATCGCAGCCCCTCCCCTCCCCCGACGCGAAGTCACGGGGGTGGGATGGCAGGATGGAGCATGCCCGGGATTCCCACGCGTGGGAGCTTCGTGACTCCTGACGCGCCCGCCAACATGTCACGCGAAGAGCGGGATAAGGAGAGCGTCCTCACCAGGGGAGGCCCGCGTCTGTCATTCACTCTACGCTTTGTCTCCCCTCACGTGACCCTCCCATCCCCCTAACTAGACGCCTAGTTCTCTTCGCTACGACCCCAGCAGAGCCGGGCGCCGATTGGACGCGCCCCATCAGGAAGCCGCCTATCGGTCGCGTTCCCAAACCTGCTCCGCCCTATCCCTTTGCTTGATGGTCGGACGAGACTTAGGCCAGAGGCCCACGCGCAAGGATGCCTCCGGTAGCCGGGATGATCGCCCGCAAAATACCGCGAGAAGAACGGAGCTCCTCCTACCGGACGCTCCCTAGCCCTGGCCCTGGCCCCGGCCCCGCCCCCAAGAGAGGAAAAGCTTGGCCGCCATGGATGGACAGCCGCCCCGCCCCGCATCCCGCCGCCCCGCCGCCCCGCCCGCGGCGCATTGTGGGATCGGACCTGGGAGGCTTCAGAGCGGACTCCGCACTTGACCATGGGGTGCAGCCGGTGAGAACCCGCTATTCTTCGTGCCTGCCCCGCTTTGCACCGCAGACTTCACCTTATCAGGACTCCGAGGCCCCTTCACCACGACCTGGGGCTCACTCTAGAAGCCCTCCTTTCTGTATTCCGCAGCCCTGCTCTGCATCCCACCAGCACCCAAGCCCAGCCCTGGATCCCTTCTTTGAAGCAAGTTCCCCTGCCCAGTACAATACCCGTTTTTGGGGACAGCCCTTTCACTTGTCTCATACCCCCAAGACACGCCTCACGCTAGACCCTCGGATCTTCCCCTACCCTCCAGCAGCTCTCCGCTTCGCTCAGTCAGACATCACTAGTGAGGCACCACCCCAGTGCTGTAGGACCTGGAGGCTCAGCTTGTGGATATCCCCGTGCTCACAGGCTGACCCACTTACTCTCTCATTCAGACTTCTCTCCCCGACAGAGCACTGCCCTGCTGACCTCCGTGGGAGTGGGACTTCTGTCCCTGCTAGGAGTGGCCGTGGGCTCCTACGTGCTTCGTAAGTATCGAAGGACACCTGTCACTCTTCAGGACCCCAATGTGAAGTACTTTCTGAGGCTGCTGGACAAGACGGCAAGTTACATGTGGGACTGTGTGGTGGGGGTGGGGGTGGGAGAGGAGGTTAGAAAAGGGAACAAGGGATGGCCAGGGTAGTGAGATGCTCTTTTAACTGTTTTTAGACTGTCGGCCACAACACCAAGAAATTCCGATTTGCTCTGCCATCAGCCAATCACATCCTGGGACTACCAGTAGGTAAGGAGAGTCTCTGGTGGGCAGAGGACTAGGAAAGGCAGTACTACTTGCTCACTGCATAAAATAGGAGCCCTCTTTCCCTCCTCCCAATCACCTATTACTCCATTTCTTCCTCTTTTCCCTGGATCCTATAGTTCCTTTCCCTTCATGATTTGATTTCCAGTCTGCCAAATGCTATTATGTTCCATTACTAGGGTGTGGGCTCCATTTTTTGCCTACCTTGGCCAGTCACAATCCCCTCCTATCCCCCCTCCCCCAGGGATTTGATATCATTATTGCTGACTCTTGCCAGGGTAGGGGACATTAACCTGGACCAGCTCCTTACTGGGGCCCTAGGACAAATTGATCAGGGTTCTTCCAATTTTGTCTGCTGGAATTTGGGGATCATGAGGATCTGACTAGGAGAAAGAAGGGTTCTCCTTTCTTCATAAGTACCTGAGTATCTAGAATGAGCATATTGAGCACACTTCTTTTGCTCCATGATTCATTCTGACCTGGAAGAGAGAGAATTGGTGGGCTCAGATTCAAAACCTACTTTAAAACTTACTGGACCAGAAAGCAGGAAGGGCTGGGGGACCTTCCTGGCTCATCCTCACACCCTACTTCCTACGTGATCACCAGGAAAGCATGTCTACCTCTCTGCCCGAATTGATGGCAACTTGGTTGTCCGGCCCTACACACCTGTCACCGGTGATGAGAATAAGGGCTATGTGGATCTTGTCATCAAGGTATGAGATAGGGCCCCAAATATTCTTCCTTTCCTCCCTTCTTCCAACATTCTCCTGGGCTTTCTGGGAATTCACTGGTGGCCTTTGGGGGTTGGAGAAAAGACGTATGTACAATCCTTACCCTAAACTCAAGCTCAGTCAAGCAGCTGACTCAGTCACTGGTAGCATCTGGAGTTTCTGAAGCTTGGGTTAAATCTGTGAGGAAAAGGCCAGAAGTGAGACTGGGAGAGATGGGGTTTTACAACTGGTGAAATTGGTCAGATGCTATTCTCTCCCCTCTTCAGATCTACCTGAAAGGAGTACATCCCAAATTTCCTGAGGGAGGGAAGATGTCTCAGTACCTAGACAGCCTAAAGATTGGAGATGTGGTAGAGTTTCGGGGGCCAAGTGGACTGCTCACTTATAATGGGAAAGGTATCAGCCCTACTGCTTTCTAATCCTACTAGTTTTTTAGGTCCTGAGGCCTTCCAGTCATTGTCTGCATTATGAATGTACCTGCATTATGCATACCTTTTTGAATGACCTTTATTCTTTGTATATTTCTAAAACTAGGGCTCCTTTTCCACCTATGCATACCTCTGATAATATGAGATCTATTATCCAGTCTCATCTGCCACAGGGAACAGCCACTGTCCTGAATCCCATCAGTTGTAATAGACATAGATATGACCAGAGCAAACATTTAGCTTCCTTCTGTGATTCCCCAAAAGAGCTTTCTCAGCTTCATTTTCACAGTGAGCTAGAGATAGATTTCATTGTAGTTCCTCCCTATTCTTCCCCCACTGGAACAGCTTGGCCTATTAGCCTAGCCTCCTGAGCCCCATTGGTGTCACTAGGGAATGTTGAGTCACACCTGGCCCCATGCCTGTCTGTCTCACCAGGGAGGCATCTCACTGCCTAAGATTGCTCATGACTCATGGTGTAGCCCTAGAACAACTCTGTTTCCTGAGAGTACTGGGATCTGGCAGTAATGAGAGACAGGTGGCTCAACCCTACTCCTATTCCCAGGATATATTACCATCAGTGGCTAGGTCAACTTGAATCCTCCAACCAGTCTGTGAATAAATTTGCCACTGCATTGAGATCCAGAATTAAGGTTCATAACCACTTGATAAAGGGCCCCTAGGGTTTCTCATACATTTCCATTTTCAGTTCCTTACAATGATTTCCCATTTGTCCTCCCTGCCCTTGACTTCTCTCAGGGAAATTTGACATTCACCCCAGCAAGAAATCTCCAGCAGAACCCCGAGTGGCAAAGAAGTTGGGAATGATTGCCGGAGGGACGGGTGTGTGTCACCCTTGTGTCTGCCCCCAATGCTGCTGGCGGTTGGCATGGAGCTGGTAGCAAGTGACACTTGGGTTAGATGCTCATAGCCGGACTGGTAATGATGGGTTGCTGGAGTTCCTGGATCTGTGCAAAATAAAAAAGAGGGATTGAAATCGGGGGTGGGATGTTTCGAACAATCTCAAATCTGGACCTTTTGCAATTGGAATGGAAAGAAGCAGATTAGAATGGCAGAGCTGGGAGGCAGCTCTGCAGCCTCTCACTGAATCATTAGATATTTGTTGACAGCTGCTTCACTAGTCCTAGACTGTGAATTTTTTTTTAAGGAAGTCTTAGATTGT